TATTATTTAACTGTTTGAACTCACTAAGCATAAGCCAATACATTTTCTTAAATGACATGTATATCATGATCTCAAGGTGACGGAGCTACTAATGCTTGTGAAGTGATGGTTGCCGGTAGAGATGTATTTTTGGAGATATTGACTTTTGGTGATATGATTGTAGCAACACTCGATTGTAATCTTTACCTAGATTTGGTTTAGATTAGTAGGTTGTTAGTTACCATAATTTTATTTTATGTAAACTATATTACGGTTCCCTCTTTGGGGTGAAAATTTATTTACATTCCCAGCCATCCTATTTTATTTAGCAGTTCAATTTCCCTCCTATTTTAGAGGTGTTACATTTTTGCTTAAATAATCGTTGAAACATTAACTGGGTTATGTTCCATCTTACAGGCGTATCAATGCTGTTTTGTAAGCGCCAGTTACGCCATCATCTATGTCATGACAAAAATAGGTCTATGTGATTGAGCGACTAGTTTATCCCTACTGAAGATCAATCTTAACATTAATCTAAAATTTTCTAAGTTAGGCTCGATCATTTTCACCCCCACTTGTACTGTTAAATTTATAAAACCGGTGACACAATGACACAATAAAAAGTCAATTTTGATTTTTGTACATATTTTGTATTATTAAATGAGTGTAGAAATGCTAGATATTTTATTTGACAATCTATAAATATATATATATATATATATATATATATATATATATATTTCTTTAGCATTTTCAATATTCTTTTACTGCACAAGGGTAACCAAATTGCTCAAACGCAATGGTGCGTTTTACCATGGCCTAGATGTTGGGTCAATCCAATGAGCAACGGTACAAGTATACGAACGTGGCCTCTTGTTTGGAACGATGTTTGCATCCACCTTATCATTTGTGTCTTGTCAAAGTGATCGAATAACAAGCCTAATTGAATCACCAATTTGCTTGCATCATCCCATTTAGCTCTGCATCATACAACCAAGTTGCTCCAGTTGGTATAAGAATCAGTTGCGCCGAATACATTCAATGTGATGTTCTACAAAGAAATTTCCCCAATGTTTACATTGTGCTCGTTTTTTTCCCACTAAACATAGCCACCAAATCAAAAGGTTACCAAATCAGGGCTTCTGGGCTATGCTTCCCGATTACTTTGATAATGTAATCGCCGAAGGATTAACAGAAGTGGGAATCGAAGACTCAGCTTGAGAACCACTCAGATTAAAACCATCGGCTTTAGAACCGTAAAAGTGTGAAGTAGTTTTATTAAAGGACAAAAATTCGTCAAATAACAGGTTTCTCAGGGCTCGATGGAGGCCCTATAACTGTAACCGGTTAGGGCCCAACCAGTTTTGGGCCTTAACCCAGATTCTAGCTCGATTGGCTTTGCCCATGTCTACTCCACACATTAACTTTTGAATAAAATGCAAAATGTATAATAAAGTTTTTCTTAATTCTTATTTAGTCTAACAATGAACTTCATTCTCAATTAGTGCAACAAGCTTTCAAATCCTCTTGTGGCCATGGATGTTCAAATGCAGTGACTCCAGACTATTTGCAAAGCATGTGGTCGCCCTGAGATTAGTCGGCTCGCATAACGGGTTGGATATCCAGGTTAATAAAAAAAATTGTTTATTTAAGAAAATTACCACATGACATTTTCCTTCCTTCCATCCCTTTCTCTCATCCTTCCTTTTTTAAGGATTTATGTTTCTTCTCCTAATCCAAATCCCTCACATTCTCTCTTAATCAAGCAAAGCTCCATCTCCTAGACCCGAGCCATTCTACCATCCTCTCTGTTATTTCATCATCATTGATTACCCGTTCTCAACCTTGGTCTTCAGATGGCGGTGCTCGAGGGGACCGAGTCAATATAATAAACTGTTTAGCATCTCCTCGATTTTGTTGCAACTGATGAAAGTGTGGAGCATATAATGGTGTCCCAAATGCTTTACAAAGGGACTCATACCCTTCTCACGTATTTTCTTTTGAGGCCGTTGAATATGACATCTTTTGTTGTTTGGGAAGGAGGTAGCCATTGAAGGGCATGCCCACGATTTGTACTTCAAGTTGATGTTTCTAGGATAGATCTTGTTCTGCAATAATTCCACTACAAGGAATTCCCCGATGAAAAGGGTGTGATGGTGGTGGTTGACGACACCTTTGGCCAATTGTCTCTTTGCCAACATCTATGAAACTTAATTTGTTTAACTGATTAATGGTTAAAATTAGTACGAAATAGGAAGATTTGAAAGTTTGCTTACACTAAATCAGAACTAAATTTGCCTTGGTTACAATTTAGTAGGAGTGGCTTTGCTCTTAGAAGGAGTGGGTTTGCTATTAAAAGAAGAAAAAATTGAAATGATTTGAAGGAATTTTGATTTTCTAATTTATTTTAGACATCAAAATTGAAGAAATGAAATGTGAGAATTAAAACTTAGGGGTTGTTTGGTTCATGGATTTGGATGGAATTGAAATGGCCAGATCCTTTGACCAAATTCCAAATACAATATTTGGTTCATGAAATAAAACTGATGGAATCCTTTCAATTCCAATAAATTCATTCACTCACAGATTTTACATTCCACGACAATGCCCTCGGATTTCAATTCCTTTCCTAATCCAAATTCATTCAACGTTGTGTCTATCATCTCATCAAATTGATATCTGGTTCGATCTCCATCTGGTACGCTCTCGCTCTCTCTCGTAATTTCTCCATCTATACGAGATCGATAGACAACATATGTAATCAATGAATCGATTCAAGATAACTAGCTATCGATATCACTAGTCCAATTCCGAAATTCAAAAATCATAAAAGGTCATTTGTTGATATTTAATTCCGATTCCAAAGTTGAATTCCGTGAACCAAACAAAAAATTTCCAATCCGTTAAGAATTTCATTTCAATTCCTTGCAACCAAACGCAATCACAAGGCATGGTCAAATTCCATCAAATTTCATTACATTCCCTCAACGTCAAATTCATTTGATGAATTCCACTTCTATCGAAATCCATTCTACGAACCAAACACCCCCTTAGAGTCCGTTTGGTTTAATAAAATGTTTTTGAGGGATTGAATTTCATGAAAGAATTTGGAATTGGAGGACTTTGGAATTAGAAGAATTAAGAATCTTTAATATGTTTGATTTATAGAATTTGAAATGGAATTTAATTTTTTGCAAACAATTCTTTGTTTTTTAAATAACTTTTTTGTTTGGAGGCGACAGAGAGATTAGGGAGAGTAAGAATGAAAGAGACAAGACAGATCGCAACAAAAACAACTGAAATCCATGGGATTCGAATTTGAAATGACAACCATGTTCAAGGGATTTCAAATCCAGACATTCCTTCAAACCAAACACAGGATTAGAATGAAATTCAAAATCATATCCTACCAAATCCCGCAAACCAAACAAACCCTTGGGGGGTTTGGTTTGTTGGAATGTTGTTAAGGGATTTGAAATGAAATCCTACAGAATCCCATGGGATTTCATTTAAATCCAAAAAATCTTTCAAACCATACACGAGATTGGAATGAAATTCAATTTCAAATCCCTCCAAATCCAATCCTACAAACCAAATGGGGACCTTAGGAATGCTTCATTGGGGGTTTTGATGATAAGGAATAACGAAGGTTTGATATATAGAAATGACCCGAGTTATATGTAGGATGCATATGACACGGGCCTTCCAAGCCCATTTTTAGGAAACCAAAAAAATGTATGGGCTTTTTTGGGCTTGGCCTTTGGAATAAAAAAAAAGGGTCCAATCAGGATTTATCAGGCCAGGATTTTCGAACTGGCCTTTAACCGGATCTTGAGAAAAAGTTGGCCCAATCGGGTTTTAAGGTACTAGACAAGCTCGAGCTTACTAAACTTGGGCTTTTGTTCGTTGATTTTCACCACTTGGTACGCTAGCATTTGTTCTCGAGTCCAAGAAAAAGAGGGAAAGAAAAGGAAAGTGGGGAAAAAGAAAAATATCTTGTTCTCAAGTTCTTCTAAGGAGGGATGGGAAATAAAAGAAAAATAATGTTGATTTTCCTTCCCTTGAATATGTTTTCTTATACATGTCTCTCTTTTATGTTCTTGCTTACTCATAACTTTTTGGACTAACTTCTCTGGTACGCACACTTCTTACAAGTTGAAGGTCATGTGCGTACATCCCCCAACCGACCCCATCGACCCCACCTTTGGGTGGGACATATCGATATTGCTTGGTTATGTTTAAGCTCCTCATCATTGTTGCATCCAAATGTTACTTGCACCACATAATGTGGTTCAAGTTTATCATGGTTGATTACGAGTTGAGCCAAATCCTCTTCATGTAAAACCTGCTTGATTTGGATCAGATGTGGCGTTCTATGAAACCATGTGGTATGGTCCGAATCCATAGTCAATCCTATTTCCAATAGGATAACAAGATACATCCAACAACCAACAATGCAAACCATCAACACCCCCCACATTTTGATGCACCGTTGACCGCACGTGAACCATGAAAAGGGATGTAATGCATCAAGGATCCTAAGTTTTGCAAATATGAAGGGAAGTATATATATGATATAAATCATACATGACATTTAAGGGGTGCTTGGTTGGGGGTAACAAGGGATGGAAATGAAAATGAAAATCATTAATAATATCTAATTTGATGCAATGGAATGAGCCATTACCAGATAACGGGTAATAAAGCATTCCTCAACACATTGGGGTGAATGAAACTCACTCCCATCCCTATTTGCCTTCCCTGAAATGAACCAATTGCCCCCTCAGGGGCCATTTACCAATACAAACTGGGTAAGCGCTTACCGGGTAAGAGTCACCATCCTCACTTACCTTACCGGTAAGATTCACTATAAGTGTGTTATACCCGGTAAGTGCTAACCATGTAAGAGTCGTCTCCCTCCCTAACCGGGTACTCTTTTAGCAAAATGGCTAAGTAAGATTGTTGGTAAAGACCATTATCTCTTACGTGTAAACATCTCTTGCCCAGTAAGAGGCAATAAGTGTTCAGTTACTGGTAAAAGGCATTAAGTGTTTAGTAAACAACCCCTTAGTTGTGGAACATAAAAACACTTCAATAACTACCATGATCATGGGATATAGGAGATGCAAAGCAAAGCAAGTTGAATGTGTGGATCTTAGGCAAAACTACTTCATCAAATTCCTACCTAAAGATGTTGGCTTTGCCTATTGATTCCCCGATATGAATCTAGTTGGGAAAGATCTTTACTTGTAAAGGAAATGAGAAGAAGAAAAACATACCCGCAAAAGGAGACTTGTCTTCTCGGATTAGTGCTGAAAACCGGAGTAGTAATACAGAGCTAGCAGCCTCCTCATCCATGGAAATATGGTCATCTTCTTCCGGTCAAGTACCTGGTCTTCACAAGTTTAGAACTGTACAAAGTTATACCATCACCCCGATCCCTCTTTCTAGACTTTTTGGAACAAAGACTCTTAGACTTCTCTTCTTCATCATCTGTATCTACCATTGTACAGCCTGACCTCGCTTGTATGCTCATTTGTCTAGGGATGTATACGTTGAAGTAATAGCCGACTATGGCTTTCTTCGACTTCAATGGAAAGCATTCCAAGGCGGATTTTATGAATTCTTTACCTTCTAAAAGTATATTCTTTTTCATAAGGTGGGTGAACTTCTGCTGCTCTGGTTGCTTCCATAACTTGGCAACACTTTCTCCCATTTGATCAAACTTCCATTTCTGGAAAGCGGGTCCCAAATCCTTTCTCAGTTGTGCGGTTTCCTTAGTGACGTGGCGCTTGACGCAGAGGACGGATCCCGGGGGAGAGCAATTGCAAGATTCAGGTCTTCCTTTCCCTATGGCATCCCCTTTGCTTTCTCGGGTTGTGTTGTTCATTGACCATATCACGGTGCCTAACCATTTTGAAGAGTCACATTCACTAAGAGCACTGTGAGGTGGGCCACTCCACTCGGGCAAGTCAGCCTGAAAACGTGGTCCAATTGGGATTGCAGATTTTAAACTATCATCATTGATGTAGTTGAACCAATCCATGGGAACTGAGTCATGACGTTTCAGAGTCTTCTTCACTTGTTTTGGCATCTTCATGCTTGATAAGTTTGTGACAGAGTGAACTGAACTTTGGATCACTGTCCCCTAATAACACCTTTCAATAGAACATGTGTCATAAAGATGCTTTGCTGATTGGATAAAAATCGCATCAAGGTGATGTGAATGATTCTCCGACTTAAAACTTCTAAAAAAAGTGTACGCATAGGGTGCGTTTGGTATGCAAACAAAGACTGAGCATGATTAGACGGGACAGCGAGGGTGAGACAGGAGGGCTAAAGAATTGTGGAAGGTTTTAATTTGACATGGGTAGTTTAGTAATTTGCCTATCTTGTCTCAACTTCCTGATTTTTGTTCCACCTATTTTGGTGAAACAAAAAACTGCATTTTTGTCCCACTGAGTCTTATCCTTTCCTAGTCTAATTGTTGAGCCAAACGTGTACAACAAGTTTGTTCTATCCTATCCCGTAAAATGCACCCATACTGCAAGTTGGTACTTTGTGAGTCTACTAAAATGAAATTACATGGAATTCGTTTTCATGATGTAGTAATAAATGGGAGGATATTGGCGTACAAGAGAACATAAAGAAATGAAGTATTGCCAAGAAGTTGGGGAAACTATTCGACAATGTTATAATGCTTCATAAAAGAAAAAGGAAAGATACGACTGCAAGATCAATCTGCTCAATAGTTGCAAATTTGAAATATAAGAAATTCCACAATAGCTGCGGCCCTAAAAGATGAATGGTGCTAGGGAGATATGACAAGTAAAATAAGTTAATAGGCTAAATGAAGATATGTTGTTCATTAAACCTTAACTAAGTACAACAAGCAAGAAACAGTTTATACGTTTTGGGTTAAATAACAATTAACGACCATCTAAGTTTCTGCTCATGATTAGGAACACTCTCTCTTGCAATATACATTCACACGTGAAGGACTGAATCCCTTCCCTCTCTCTACATATTAAAAGAACGGGCAAAGTTATAGCAACCACCAAAAGTTAGCATCAAACTTGCTTAGGAAAAATACAACTAAATACACATTCTTGCCACAATATTTACGTTCTGTTCCGAAATAAAACATGGGAACAGGATGTCAACATCGGTAGTTGTAGATTTTTTTTCTTCTCTAAATGCACTCCATCCCAGAAAGAAGCCCACTTTACATTTTTCTTCGCCCTACAAAAAAGACTCCTATTCAAATTATAATATTAAGACAACTTTGGATTTACTAAACTACCCTTCCCACTTTACAGGTTTGATAGAGAAATAATGTCTAACATTATTTCACAAAGATAGATGTGTCAAAATTTGTTCTTACAAATCGCTTTCCAAATATCATAATGTGGACTGTTATTTAGGCAGAAATAGTCCCTGAAGTTCCACATTAACAACTCGTCTATGGTCATTTTTGCATAGAGATAATATATTTACCTTTAGAAATCAACCATAAGTAACTTACAGGCTTGAAATCACAAGTCATTTCCTGGAAAATGATAAGCTTTATCTACCCCCCCCCCCCCCCCCCCCCTTGGCCAATGACCATCTTAGTCAACAAAAGAGAGAAAAGAACAGTAATAGTAGCAATAATAATAAATAATGACAACTTTTAATAGAAAATACAAGAAGGAATACAGGATTCAGAACAATGAACATCCAAGATATTACCACTTGGGGTGGGGAATGAGCCAAGTTTGATGCCTTCCCAAGTCCCAACAAGTTGATCAAGTAAAAAAGAATGAAGAATAAGCATATTATCCCAAACTAGCTGGAGTAGACCAAAAAAGAATCGCAAAGGGAGTGTTTGGATATGTTGCTACCCAATTATCATTGAATCTCATTTAGATATTTTAGGGCCAAATAACAAAATTAGGAGAAACATGTAAGGAGTTCCAGCAACAAGACCGAGTTTTTAGGGTAAAATTTAAATTAACTAACTACTCCTAACCTCAGTTACTTTCCTACAAGTTACAACTAAGCCCTCATCTTATTAACCAAATCAAGCCAAACCCGAAAGACTAGATAGGTTGTTTCCAAACACTCCCCTAAACTGCAATAATCAATTACAAAATGCACATCTGAACACCCCTTAAATCACAAAGAAGTGAACCAATCCATAGGCTTCGGAATGCGAAGAACACAAAACATTATAAGAACTTATAAAAGGCTAGCCAATCCTAAATATCTAAAACAAGTATATCACTGTATCATCAACTCCAAAGACTCCTACACGTTAAGCATTCCACCCCTTATCATGTTGGGTTAGACTATCTGGTGTGTGTTTCTTTGTAATTGCCTTCTCAAAAACGAAGTTGAAGCCTATAAAAAATGCAAAGTAATCCTAGGCATCTAGAACATGTAAAGCATCATTTCATGATCTTCAATCTGTGGCCAAGAATTCTGATATATGCAACAGAAAACAAATAAAGTAAGAAAACCAAGAAGAAATTATACTGATGATTACAACTGACAAAATCCGCTAAAATCCATCGAATAATCCAAAATTGTCAGGATTGATTTCTTTTAGGTTTCTTTACACCAAGAAACAGATAATCATGTTAAGACCTAAATATAATAACAACGCCATTTTCATAAATTTATCAACTAAAAAAGGGTTTATTAGATACCAACATTATCCTAAAACCAAAAATTCAGATTATAATCAGGTCATTACTTCCACATGATCACACATTGAAAAGGAAAATTTTAACCTAATCGAGATGTGAGATTCAAATCACCTTAACAACGAGGTGAATCGTCGTAAAATTGTCCTTCAATAGAGAATCCGTTGCTATACCTCGAATTCAACTCCTGTCAGGTGAGAATTGATCTTCTTTAGTCTCCGATTTCACTTCAGTCACAGAGAAATTCTTCTCTGTAGATCTAACAGGTATTTTGCATTAACATAATCTGAAATATAAATTTAGATCTTCTTTAAATCTTATAGGACGATTTACACATAGATGACGATAAAAGTGGAAGTAGATGATCAAGAAGATCTAGAAGTCGGCGTGCTGCCGGTGACGGTGAACAATCGTCGCGGCGGAGGAATATTCTCACTTAAATTCTATTATTTTAATTTTTTTCCATTAAATGGAAAAAGCTAGGGTGAGGTAGACAATTTGTTGGCATTATGAATTCTGTAGGGAGTAGATTTCAAAGGGCACAATTTCATAAATTGTATTATTAATTTGATTTTTATTTTAAGAGACGTACTTTTAATATTTTTATTTTGGTATCAAAGATGTAAAGTTTTAAACATTTAAGTATTCGACAGTTGAAGCATTAACCGGTTACCATGCTGATGTGACGAGTGATGTGGTATCCGGTTAATGCTTCAGCAAATAATACTGAGTTGGATACCACTTCACTCGCCACATCAGCATGATAATCGGTTAATGCTTTCAACCTGTTACCCATGTACTTAAATGTTTACAAAAATTCCATCTTATGTACCAAAATAGAAGTTTTGAAAGTACGTTACTCAAAATAGGAATCAAGTTAGAGTACGTTACTTTTTCATGCAATTTGCCCTTTTGAATTTTATCTATTTAACATAGTAGGTAATGAGATGGTAATTATTTATGTTATAAAACTTTTATCTATAGAGGTGAATAAGGGTTAGGTTGATCGGATTGACACCATATGAATGTTGTATTCAGTGTTTGCGGTTTGAAAAATCTCAACTCAACCAACCTAAACATAAGTAAAATTCAAGTCAACCCAAAACGTACAGGCTGGGTTGGGTTAGTCGGGTTGACACTTTGATAAAGAAAAACTTATCTTTTACACTATCAAACACAAGATTAGTAATGCATAAAAGTAAAGTAGAAAAAGTGACGCAAACACCGTTGTTTAGAGATGTTCACCAACTTGGCTAATTCACTTTCCGAGACATTTCTCGAGACATCGATCCACTATAAGATGTTCTTTGTGGTAGAACATATACCTTGGTACAGTGACTGTAATATTCTCATGCTTTTGCTAGAGGATGATGCGGATCACTCACGTTAAAGAGATATACTTGCAAGATGCAGGATATTTAATGATAATCACTCTTATGTAATCAATACAATGCTTGGATGACTAGAATAATATTCTGCTCTTAATGTTCCAAGACTTATCTTCAAATGTTGGGATAATACCCTGGTTTTATACACAAATTTTGAAAACGAGCTATGTGGATGTCTGCATTATGCGGACGTCTGCATTGACTTCTTTTGGAAGATGACCGTTTAAAAGTACTGTCATGTTAGGGAAGATTTCAATGTAGATGTTCGGACGAATCAGACGGATGCCCGCATTGTATTTGCCAGCTATCACCATTTAATGAGTAATCTTTGTGTTTAATGCATAATTACTTTTACCAAGCAACATGAGACAACTTAAAGAGATCTGATTTACAAACATAATATTGATGGAAAAAGGTACTTTTTAATATTGTCGATAGTGTTTATCGTTTAATAGTCTGAAGATGATATAGCTTCCGGAAATTTGTTCGGGTTTAATCTTCAATACTTGGCGGCTCATTTCTTGAGATAATAACTTGGTGAAGATCAGAGATGACATGTTTTTCCAAAGTCAGATCCATTTTTTTGTAGATTTGGTGAGTATAGAAGCATTTCATCAAATTCTTGCAAGTTAATAATCAGCTCTTAGATAAAAAGAATTAGATTGTTAGAATACAATTAAAGTCGGGCTTTGTGTTTGTCAATCATCAAAAAATAGAATAAAATTAGGTTCCATACACTTGCACCAACAATCTTGTGTTGTCGGCTCTTCCAATAACATTTAGGGGTTGTTTGGCAATTGTTGAATGGTTTGATGCAGAATGATTAAGTAGTCAGAATGATTAAGAGGCTCTCATTATATAGTGCAAAATGAAATATAATTGTTTGGTAATTGGGTACAATGAAATTAGGGCTCTTAATGGTTAAGGGAGATTCATGATACAAAATCATTTAGAGGGTTTTAGAACCATTAAGAGATAAACTTTTTTTTTTTTGCCAACAAAATTCATCTCTTAACGATTCAGAGGTATCTTCTTAAGGGAACTATTAAGAGGTAAACAAACAACCCCTTAATAAAAAGATCTTGTTCCATACCAGTTCTAAAGGGCTCAACGAGAAGTGGTCAAAAGATGGTCTCACAATCAACATTAATTTGAGGAAGAAGTAGCATTGGTAAAGACATGGTTACTAGAACGAGTCCCAACAAATTAGCAAAATAGTCTGAAGCGAGGTCATAATGATTATTATAGAGCTAAAGATAGACATGTTGAGTGGCCTCATTGCAGTCAAAACCGACATAAACTTCAAGCATCAAGTCTTGAGAGACTTTGAAGGAAAGAAAAGATCCCACCCAACAGCAGAAAAAGCTTCAAGAGTACCAAAAATAACCTAAACCCCCTAGACAGATAGGATGGCCTAGGTTAAACGAATGGCTCTGTAACAAGGACCTACGTTCATCCCTATGGGCTATACGTTGCGCAATAGGGTCAACCGAGGAAGGAGGGGCTCAAGAGGAGGAGGCACGAGAATGCTTAGTACACATTCCTGTAAATTACGTGATACATAAATAACTTATATTCTCAATTATGCATATGTATAATGTGCCTATTGATGTGAAATGAGGACAAGAGATGTGTAATACGACACATGAAAAAGAATGTATACGTTTGTATACGTTACTATGTCATATGCATTCGGGCTTATAAGAATATTGCATATACTCACACAAGGACTTCCAAATAGAAGATCACAATTATTTTGAATATGACAAGCCACTTACATATGGATTAAACAAAAATATGTTCATTTAAATATGTTTCTAAGGGTCTGTTTGGTTTGCAAGGTTGTTTTTGAGGGTTTTGGAATTAATGGAGGGATTTGGATTTGGAGGGACTTGGATTGGAATGGATTTGAAATTATTGGTGTGTTTGGTTTATAGGATTTGGAAATTGGATTCCATCAATTTATAAATAATTTTAAAAAAATATAAATAATAATATAAACAATTAAATTACATTATTAGTTGATTATTACAAAACAAATGTTTTTAATATTTGTTTAAACCTTATTTCATACAATCCTACGAAATCCCATGAAATCCGGAGCACTCCCTAAGGATTTCAAAATCCTATGTTTGTAGAATTTCAATCAAATCCTAGGATTTCAAATTCGGACAATCCAACAAAGCAAACATGAGATTGGAATGATTTGAAATCTAAATCCCCTCAATTTTATTCCATTCCTATAAACCAAAGGGGACCTAAGTTTCATCGTTGTAATTTCTAACAAATTGACACATGTTGTTTCACTTGGATGAGTTGGGGTTAGATGTAAGCGAACACAAATAGTAGACCACTGAGTGTTACATGGTTAAAAAGAGTTCTGTTAACCTTTACAGGATGCAAACTATATGAAAATAATTGTAAGATCTATACCATGCTCAGATTTGTGTAATTTTGAACACTGCTAGTAAGTGTCTAACCTGAACTTTGAAAAAGGGTTGTTCAATCCAGTAATGGCAGTTGAGAACTATTGTTGCAACAACTTATTCAGGTGTTATAACAATGTTCTGCTACACTTAGTTGCTAAACTTCAACCTGAACTTACACTTATGTTTTCTTTAATTATTGTCATTATTCAGTAGATTGTTAACAAAAGCCAAAATCATTCTTTCGAATTCACCATCTAGAAATCTCATTCTAAGATTGACTTGTCAGAGAAGCTCATATTCTTTGTCCTTGCGATTGATATTTGATAATGCCATTATTACTTGTTTCAAATAATATGAGATGAGTATGTATTATTACGTATTCTTGCATTTGACATAGCCTTTTGGGGTTGTCTTTCTAACGCAACAGGAACCTAGAAACTACCTACAACATGTCATGTATCCCTCTTCAGGATGAATATACATCATGAATAACACATTCATGATTAATAACACGCCTATATTCCTGATGAATATGCCAGATGTCGCTATATAAGCAATTCTTGATTTTTTAATCAATTTTAGGTTTTGTTAGGAACCTACCCCTATATATAGGAGCATAATCAAATGAGAACCCCATATATTTGTAATAACTATTATCGTAAGGTATTGTTTCATTTTTTTTCATCTAAAAAGCAAGAATTTAGCATATTGGTTAACATATATTTGTTTCACAATATTTGTTTCATATGTATTCGGTTCACAATGTGAAACTTTTTAGTTGTATTTTTGGTTTCAAAAACACATAAAAAAAATTCACATTGTGAAACAAATATTATGTTAATCAATACACTAAATCCAAGTCATAGATGAAAAATCATGTGAAATAGCACATAATGTACCAGTTCTTAAGTTTATCACAATTTTATGGGTTCTTAAATACCCCCATACATGTGTTGTTATCGATATATGAATTTTACTTAAGCATATGATAAGATATAGGAACATAAACACATATCAGAATTCGATTTAACATAATATCGTGAATGGTTTAATAGATCTAACCTAGAGCACTGGAGTTATACGCAACAAAGTTCATTGAAGAGGAAGCAGACATCCTTGTGTGTAGATCAAAGCATTCTAAAGCTCTATAAGTTTTGCTTTAGAATGAGACTGAACTGAATGTAGAATTCGTGTAGGCAATAAGGATTTGATCTCCTTAGTTTATAGGCCACGGAAAATAGAGATCATCCCATAACGAATCCTAGTTTATTTTTAGGTTCGATTTTCAAAAAAAAGGAAAATATATACACTTACTTTAATATTAATCAGGTAATTAATTGAATGAATTATCATACTCATATTAGGAGATATACATCCTAATATATGATTGGATTATAACTGATATAGAATTCTCTTGATGAATATAAATATTTAATCAATCGTCCTTTAATATTTATTACACATAAGGATAAAGTTCAATTATTTCTACTCGTGTGTGTGTGCATATTATATATATATATATATATATATATATATATAGAGAGAGAGAGAGAGAGGGGGGATGAGTTATTATGCAACCCTTTACATTTGTATAACCAATACAACTCAATTTCAACCGTCCATTTAATTTGATGAATATGTTATTTCATAAAAGTTTAGATTGTTTTCTAATATAAAATATTCATTATAATCAATGAAGCCTAGTCATCTTTCATAAATATTCAAATCATAATAAATAATCTCTCATCATTTTCATAAATATCTCAATTGATTGAGTTACATTGGTTTTACAAATGTGATGAATTATAATTGAAACGTCATCTCTCTCTTGTTTTCAGGCAAAATATTATAATTAAAAAGGAAGTTATATGCAGAAAAATAAGATTTTAGGAAAAAATGCCTAAAGTTTCTACTAGATTGAAAAAATTACATTTAACACTGTATAATTAGTTATTTAATTTATTTTATATCTATTACTTTTTTATTTTACACATTTATTATATTAACATACATAATCATATGTTAACTAAAATATATGAAAATTGTGTTTCTTATTTTATAAATTACACCATTAAAATCGTCTCGTTAATACGTTCAAAATGAACCAAGTATTGAATATTTTTGAATTTAATCTTATATTATTAAAAAAACCATAAATACGTACGAAAGATTTTTAAAACTTACAATTTCTAACCTTATTGTTATTTATTTAATCTTTAATTATAAGGGTATAAAATATAATTACTAAAATAAGCCATAAGTTTTATAATATTTAATAATATAAGATTAAATTAAAAAATATTCAATATTGACTTATTTTGAACGTATTGACGAGATTATTATAATGATTGTGTGTGTTAATATAATAAGAGTGTAAAATGAAAAAATAAAAAAGTAAAGGATATAAAGTAAATTAGACAACTAATTAGAAGGGTGTAAAGTATAAAAATAGTTTATCCAATAACCGAAACATAGTTTAGGGTGTGTTTAGTGTCAGGACATGACTGGACAGGATATGATAGAACAATTGTTCAATGTTTGGTAAGATAGAACTGGATATAACAGAACAAGTAAAATGACTGATTTACCCCTGATGAGTTGTTTATTTTAATTAATTATGTAATTTATTAAATTATAATAGAATAACTATTTTTTATAACAAAATATATCATTTGAAGTTTTCGTCGAAACAATTAAAATGACACCAAATAAAAAGTTTATGTAGTTTTCTATTTTTATTTTTATTTCTTTTCTACATTATTTTTTATTATTAATATATAATAAATTACATAAATTAATAAAAATATAGAAACCCGTATAAAAATAATATTTTGAGAACAGTAAAATAAAAATTTAAGAAACATAAAATACAATAAACAAAATTTAAAGAATGAATAAAATGTAAAAAAAAAGGCATATTTGATGTTTTAGAAGAGAATTAAGTTTTATTTTGAGGTTATATTGGTAAAATATAAGTTTGTTTCACCTTGTTCCATGGGATAGGGGCGGAACAGGCATGTTCCACTTTGTTTCACTCTGTTCTTGTCTGTTACACATAAAATTCATGCCAAACATGGGACAAAGATCCATATCATGTTCTGTCATGTCTCTGTCCAGTGTACCAAACGCACCCTTAGGAATAATTCATTGGTAAACTATTTTTACACTTACATCATTGTAATTAATTGTCTAATTTACTTTTTATCCATTACTTTTTCATTTTTCATTTTTCATTTTTATTATATTATAACTCATAATCGTATATTAACTAAAATATATAAAAAAATACGTTTCTTTTTTTACAATTATATCATTATAATCATCTCGTCAATATGTTTAAAATGTACCTAATATTGAATATTTGTGAATTTGATCTTATATTATTAAATATTATAAATATGTAGGAATTGTTTTTAAAACTTACATGTTCTACCCTTATGGTTATTTATTTAATGTATTTTTAATTTTTTTTTTCAAGAGACATAATCTGTAACTATAATGGTATAAAATATAAGTACTAACAATAATTCGTAAGCTTTATAGTATATAATAATATAAGATTGAATCCAAAAATATTCAGTATTGAGCTTATATTGAACGTAGACGATTATGATGGTGTAATTTGTAAAAAAATAAACGTATTTTTTATATATTTTAATTAATATACGGATATATGTGTTAATATAATGAATGTGTAAATAAAAAAATAAGAATAAAAAAATAAATTAAATAACTAATTATAAGGATGTAACGTATAATTTTTTTTACTAAATTGAAAGCAGAAACCCGTAAAGTTTAAATGTAAACTTTGGCTATTTGAAGAAAATGATTCCTAATCTCAAATTATAATGGTAGTGTCGAGCATCTCCCTCTAATCTCAAGTTGCAACTCGAATCTCTCAAAGGCATTTAATCGGAGCATACGTAGGCATGGGAATGGACCCCGACCCGTTAGGTAACCCGGTCCACCCGCCCCGGTCAGGGGCGGAGAGGGATCCCCGTTTGGCTTTAGCCGAGGATGAAGGCGGGGACAGGTATATTACTCCCCATCCTGCCATGTACCCGTTTTATATATTAATTATTAAATATAAAATACATATTACTTATTAGTTTAATATTTCTATATTCTATTCCAATTTGGCAATTTCCGATCTCTGAGTCTCAAGAGCCTTTTGCCCTTAACCCTTTTCCTCTTGTTCGTCACTTCGCCTCACTTCCTTCGAATCTAGCCTTAAGCCTTGTTCGAAATCAAAACCTTGATTGAAATCGGAGCCTTATTTGAAATCGATAACAGATTCCAGTCTTCCAGAGCCTTGTTCGAAATCGATAAAACAGTCTCGTATGATACGGATGTCGAATAACAAGTGATGGTGTTGTTTTTTGGATGGTAGATAGTAAGTAAATTTTTGTAAATTATAAGTCAAAATACAATTAGTCAATTACTTGATATATTTTGGATATTACTCGATGTAGTTTTAATATGTTTGACATTAACTCTGATAATATTAGTTTAGACTTTTTGGTCTTGTTTAAGTTTTAGTTTAATATTTTGGTAGTATTTTTACTAGTTCAATAAATGGTGAATATTGTATAGTTTTTTTGTATAAAAAAAAAATCCCCTTTCAACCGTTGGGGACGAGGATGGGGATGTGATCATAATCCCCAACGAAGACGGAGACAAATACGGGGGATCGGGGACGGGTATTAGGATCCCCGCCCCATTCCCCAGCCCAATTGGGTCTTATTAAATATTCATAAACGATCAAGAACAACAATGTATTTCTTCATCCTCTAAATTTAGTTACCTTAAATTTATTACAAAACAAATGTTTTCAACATATTTTAAAACATTATTACATACAAATCCTATTAAATCCCATAAAATACCAACCCCATACGATTTTTAGATCTCATGTTTGTTGAGATTTTCAAATCCAAACAATCCTTCAAACAAAACAAGGGAATCCAACCAAACACCCCGTGATTGTTGTATACCATTGCAAGGTTAGGTGCTGGTAAGTACGAGAGTTAACATGAGAAGCGTAAAAAAGGATCTACATCCTTGAATACACATTAGGATGAGATGCACCGGATTAATCTCCATATCAAGCGCGATTCATGGGTGAGTTTGAGATTAAAGGTGATCAATAGTCTAAATCCCTTCTTACACTTCTCACTTTAACTCTTCTTTTCACACGATCGTTTGCCTACCATCACAAAGACAATCGACACAAACACAAAATTCACGAACGAATTCTATATCCACGTTTTTTAAGCATAGATTATTTATTTACGTCTAGTGACGTTTGAACCCTTAACCTGTGGATACGGGTACTGTTGAATCAGTGTCTATATCGACCTTTGTACCTGCTAACGAAGAGTCCCGACCACCCGCTTATAAGTGTACCATTTAGCCACAAGAAGATAAGCTCCAAGATTTAACACGCTGAGGATGCTCAATAGCCAGAAGAAGTTCTGCAATTGCCCGCGATTCAAGTTATCCGGTATCCAACCCGGTTTCCCGCCTCGAGTACTAAGCGCCATTACAATCGTCACCAGCAAAGAACTCAAATAGTTTCCTAAAGCCACGGTTGTGAGCGATAAAGCCGAACACAAACTTCTCATTGAATCCGGAGCTTGATCATAGAAGAAATCTAACTGCCCGACGAATGTAAAAACCTCCGCCAAACCGATCAAGAAATACTGTGGAACCTGCCAGAAAATCGACATCGGCGTGTGCTCGTGATCGTAGTAATTGTGTCTTCTGACGATTCCGAGCCTGACTACTTCTAGAATCCCGGCTGCTAGCATTGAAAAGATCGAGATTAGCAATCCCGTTCCCATCCGTTGGAGCTGGGTGAGACCTGATTTGTGGCCAGTGTATTTCCGGGCAAACGGTACGAGGATACGGTCGTAGACCGGGACCCAGAAGATTACGCTAAGGGTATCAAAGATGCTAAGCGATGCCGGTGGGATCTCGAACTTGTTGATCGTGATGTCCATGTACGAACCTTGCAGCACAAATAGATTGCTCATTTGACCGTAAACACAACTGAATATGATACCTGTGGCCCATATCGGAAGCAGTTTGATGACGGATTTAAGTTCCTCGACTTGGGTCACGGTGCAAAGCCGCCATGGATTGACGGATTCCTTAGCGTGATCGGATTGTAACTCCATCGCTGCTTTATCCAGGAAACTACAAGAAAACACATTTTAAGTTAAAAGAGTCCAATACAATGACATGAGCGTTTAGGACCGGACCTGACCTATTTGGGATCAGCCTGGACCGGTTTTTGGCCATCTATGGTCTGATATACCAAATGCACCCTAAAAACTAATTACCTAAAATCTTTGGTATGATCAAGTTTGCGGCTTCCGACAATATTCGACTTGGCATCCGTGGTCTCATACAAAAGGGACTTATCCTCGGGCACATGAACCCTGCGTTTCCTCCACCACGCCACAACCACCTGGCAGATGCGGGTCAGCGGGCTTCCACCTGGTTTTTGATTCCTATACAGTCGAGTTCCCGAGAAGAAGGAAGCAACTGCAATCGCCATGGCAACGGCTGGGACCCCGAACCCCCAACCCCAACCCACATTATCTTGGATCCAAACAAGAAGAGATGAAGCAACTAATGCACCAATATTGATCGAGAAATAGAACCAATTGAAGAAAGAACTCTTGTGTTTCTTCTCAACCTCATCGGCATCATCGAATTGGTCGGCCCCATAGGACGAGACACAGGGCTTGATCCCTCCGGTTCCGAGGGCCACTAGATAGAGTGCCAAAAACGTTAATGCGACATCTGTTCCGTTAGCATGGCAATTGTCTTTCGATACACAAGTCGGCTTTAGACCCGAGACCGATGCTGATATTGTCAATAACGTCATTCCCTAGAGAGGGAGTAAAAAATTTGAATCGTTATCGGTCAATGATATATAAATGATCTTGTGTTCTTGCTCCCCCTTGTTCACTCCTTTTTATGGTTCTCCCGTGAACGCACCCCTATATATATATATAAATAGAGTTTCAACGGAGAATCCCAAAAAAAGAGAGAACAAGGGAACAACTATCAACCGTTGGATCTAAAACGAGCTCTATGCTTACCAAAACATAGATGATGGAGAAGATGGCAATGGTCCAATATCTGCCGAGGTAAGCATCAGCTAGAAACGCCCCGAGCAATGGCGTCACGTAACATGTTCCAGACCAATTCGAGAGGTTTTTGGAGGCGGTCGCGCTATGCTGATGAAGCTCGTTCTTGAAATAAAGCAATAGATTCATGCTCATTCCATAGTATGCCAATCTTTCACAACATTCATTTCCTGTTAATCAAATTAAACCTCAAAAACCAGCCTCCCATGAACCATCTTAAAGCCAAAAAGAGTCAAAGTTTGACTTTTAGAAGTCAAATGAGTTGCTTTCCATCTTCAAAATCGACATTAAATAGCTCATCTGTTCTACATATAACCAATGACCACTTAAAGCTATATAACAAATATAATGATAGAAATACTTTGGAGATAAAAAAATTCAATATATATATATGTCAATTTTAGATACTAGAAGTACTAAGTTTGACTCTAGAAAGTCAAAAGGGGACTTGATGAGAGTTTGGAGATCAAGAATTTACCAAGAATAAAAGGGCAGGCTTTCCAGGTTCCTGTCTTCTTCCTGTTAGCAGGTTTGTTCTTGTAATCAACTGTGCCATCTTTAGTGTATATATCTTCTTCTGTATCAACTTTAGTCGATGCATTTACTATTTCAGCCATAATTCAGACTTGTTTTGACCCTTGCTCGATAAAAATCCGCAATTACTGCAAATTTATCGGACAAATGTACAAGAATTAGCAATCATGACATGGGTTACAAGCCAAATTACCAGCAACTAAATTGCATCGAACAACTCTGGTTCAGTAAACATCATCAGACAGACTGGGAACCTTGAGGGCCAGCTCAACTGGCAAATGAACGCTAGGCCGGTTCAAGCCTCCTCAGAGCCACTCGAGATTTTCAAGTTGTTATCTTCAAGGCCAAGAGATTAGTCAAGGGGCGGACAAGCTCGCCAGACATCCAAGGTTTATAAAAAAACGCGATTCTTTTTTAGTTAACTATGAAATCTAGCTTTTTAGTTTTCCCTCTTTTGTGCCATAGGGAAGAGACAAACTACAATTTATTTTCAAACCCAATAATTTGACAAACTAGTTTCATGTGTTGTTTCACGTATGAAACGACTGTGTAAAAGTATAGTATTTATACAGTGTTGTTCCATATGTAAAACGTTCGGGACTATGTTTTACACATACAAAACATATGAAGCTAACACTGAATTTTCACATGAACACATAAAAACGGGTTTGTAAGTTTGTATGAATTATTGGTGTAACATCTCGTCCTAACCATACTAGATATCGTCTATTCAGAGATATCAGGTCCCTAGGCAACCTTAGTTTCCATCCTCGACCAATATGGGACATTACAATTGACCCCTTGGGGACCGCGTCCTCGCTGGTACACCAGTCCAGTACCCAGATAATTTAGGAAGTAGATACCATTTAGGAAGTGACCAATTGTGCCATATATTGTCCCTTTTGTTCATTTACGGTTTTAAAATTCGTCCGATGGAGAAGGTATCGAGTGTTCTCCTCTCCAACCGATATGGGATCTTACAGGTAAGCATGGTGGATAACGACTTAATGAACAAGCTAATAAACAGAAAATTAAGTCAAATCTTGAATAAGTACTGAGATTGAATCTTGAGTAAACCAGAGTTCAACTGACAGATAAGCAAAGAAAGAAAGATACCCTAATCAGAGAATCATGAAAGCACCCAAAAGCAGAGCTCAAAATCAGAAACCCTTTTTCCCAAACACAAGAAATTTAAGGTGAGAAATCATACAGAGTACCTGAATAGATTGAAGTTTCATTTGGGAAGAAGAGAACAGCGCTGAATAAATGGCTGAGTGGATCAAGAGAGAGAGAGAGTGTCTCGGTGGGTAGAAAATATTCAGTGATTCAGAAAGATTCAGAAAAATCAGAAGTCCTTATGTCAAATCTGAAAAATAAGTCTTCTCCTATTTATTGTATTTAGGGATTGCATTTGACCTGTTTTTTAGAGTTTGTTGAGAATATAGTATAACATATTCTTTAAAATAAGATATTTTAAATATTTTTATTCTAATACTATATTATAAAGTATTTGATAAAAAAAATTTAAAAATTATTTTTGATGCTTGAAGTACTGTTTATTAATGCATATTACTTAAAAATTCAAGATTACAAGTAAATTGTGCATAAGTACAACTTATTAAAACTTTATGTTTGAATTCGTGTAACTAACTGCGGATAAACATAATCAAATAGAGGATAAATATTTCATTTTAAATATATGAAATCTAAAATATAATTAGGATAAAATACTTAATTATTATCTTTATAAAAAATTATATTATTAAATAAAAAATATAAAAATAGTTAAAAAAATACAAAAAAAAAATATTTAATTTGCTACTAACATCAATATTTTTTTTCATTTTTTATGATATTTTCATATTACATTTTATTCAAAAATAAAAACATTATCGTTTTCTCAAAACCATATCAAACCATATTATAACATCGACTGGAAAAATAAATGAAACACTAAAATTGATATGTATCTCGTTGCATTGTGCGAGTACCCTTCTAGGTATATTATAAAGCATTTGATAAAAACTCTTAAAATTTATTTTTTTATGCTTGAGGTACTGTTTATTGATGCATATTACTTAAAAATTCAAGATTACAAGTAAATTGTGCATAAGTACAACTTATTAAAGCTTTATGTTTGAATTCGTGTAACTAACTGCGGATAAACATAATCAAATAGTGAATAAACATCTTTTTTTTAATCTAAAATATAATTAAGATAATTATTGAGTTCTAACAGAATACTTAACTATTATCTTTATAAAAAAATATTATTAAACCTAAATTAAGTTAAATTAAATTATAATAAAAAAA